GTGTAGGAAAATTATTCTATGAGTATATAAAAATTGCTAGAGAGGTGTAAGAATATTTCATACACTTAAGTGAAATTTTCCGTGCTTGGTGAATATTTTCTATATGAATAAGTACATTATAATGCAAAATAATTAATTTGAGTACTTACATATGCGTATAAAAATTATGTGAATGATGAATAAATTACTATAAAAAGTGTTTGAATTTATTATGAGAAGAAACTTTTTTTCAGAAGAGTGTGGAATAAATTATGCATACATAAGGACATAATTGCATAGAATTAGGGACCCAATTAGATAAAATTAAAAGTTTAAGCTTTCAAATAGATTTATAAATGGATTTGAGGAGGCAAAATTTTTGGAAAACCCCTTATGGAAGGACCTAAATTGGCCAATTAAATATTTGGAGGGTTTAAGGAGGTGTAAAAATTGGATAAAGTACGAAATTAAGGGACTAAAATAAAAAAAAAAACTTTTGAAAAGGATTTCCTCCCATATTTTCCACCTTTAACGCTTAATAATTAAGGATAATGAATGAACTTTGACTTATGGAACAAATGAAAGGCTAAGATGAAGTTAGATTGATGGATGAGATTTTAAGAAAAATAGAAGGCTAGGATTAAAACAATTGAAAGGCTAGGATTAAAAGTAAAATCAAGGGTAGAGATTAAACCAAATGAAGGGCCAAGGTGAAGTTAAACAAGCAAAAAGTCTACCAAGCTTACCTATAAATATGGCTAGAAAGGAAGGAAGAAAAAGGTTGAAAAATGGAAAAAACTAAAGGGAAACTCTTGTAAATTTTCCATAGAAAATCATAAATAATTTCACCTAAACACCTAAAATCACCCTAAAACACTTCATTAAGCTAAGAATTTTAGATGAAAGATCAAAATTTTCAATGAGGAAAAAAATGAGTCTTGGCAAAAACTTTGAGGAGAAAAAGAGGAAAAAACATTTCATGAAAATCCAAATTAATAAAGACCAATTTAGAGCTTTTGAGGTAAGTTAATCTTGCCTAGATCACAAGATCATTTTAATTGATGTTAATTGTTGGTTTTACCCAATTAATTTATGTTTAATTGGATTAATTTGTTGAATTAAGGCTAGGGTTCTTAGTTAGGTCAAATTAAGGAAAATGGATTAGAATGTGAAATTGATGTAATTGAAGTTAGAAAAATATTAATTGAGCATGAAACCAAGTGATAGAAACAAAAATTCTGTAGCCTACTTCATAATGAAAGTTTTGGGCCAAATAGTGCAAATATTTTGAACACCTTCAACATTACCGATATCTCACCTCTCATGATGAAGAAGATGGAGATCAAGTCATCAAGGACAAGTCTTCTTCAATCTAGGAAGCTTGATACCGGTGTTCACATGACTTGGGCGAAAGTTGCATGCTTAGAGTGGCATGTTTGGGCTGAATATTCCTAATTCATTGGGGCTAAAATATTCAAGCCTATTTATCTTTTTCATTTCTTATTTTAGTTATTTTCTTTCACCTTTGTTGAATGGAAATTCTATTTATGTTTGGATTATTTTTAAAGTCCATATTTGTTGTGGATTCATAATTATTTAGGAGTCCCTATTTGATGTGGATCCATATTTGATTTGGACTAGAATTAATGATGCGAGAGCATCCGCCCACCCATTTGGTCGAAAGTTTGGCACCCTCAAGTGGTCGAAACTTTCAGCCGCTATCCTTTATTTTTATGGCCTTTTATTTATTTGGATTATCTTTTAATTATTTAGATCATATTTTAATTATTTAGGTTAATTTTATTTGTAAAGACTTGGGCTGAAAATAATTAGTCCTTATGGTTTATAGATTTCCTTGTTGAGAGAGGATAAGGCCAAATATGGCTTAGATGGATGGATAATCTTTTGTGTTATAGATCCTTATTTGTTAGAAATTCTTTTATTTATTTTGAGTCTATGTAATGTGGATCCAAATTTAATTAAATTGGATTATAAAGTCTTAATTAAAGGTGGAAGATACAAGTCCAAGTCAAGATAGGAAAAGAGTCCTAGTTAGGAAGGAAGGAAGAATCGACCAAAGAGAAAGATTCACCATAACCAACTTAGTTTAGGACTTTTGTGTGTAAGTATTTAAGCACACTTTTGTGATACTTACGAGTTAAGAATTTGATGATTTTTTGAATAAAATTTGAGAGTTATTCTCTACACTTTTGCGTATCTCCTTTGCTTGGACCGATTAGGACATCATGAACATGTCCTTAAAGTAATCGACTAAAGTGGGCTTAGATCTAAATTGCACCAAGTGGATTCTTGACAAACATATCTAATAAGTATTTTTTAAATCAAATTAAGTAGTGAATATCTACTTAGGGTGAGACATTGGGGCTTGTGTTATCTTTATTATTTGTTGCTTGATTGATTGCGAGTCTAGTTAGAATTTCGATCGAATAATTTTGGTCTTCATGTTGATAACCAATGCTAGGAATTTTAGTTTGATTCAAAATTTTGATAGTAGATAGCTAAAGAGTTTGTTTAAATCCTATAAAAAATCAGAAAAAAATATTTGCTTATGTTTTGAGATCTTGGAACTTGGTATAATTTCTAAAACCTATTCTATCAAGAAATTTAACTTTATTGAATCCAAGGTTAAAGGTCTTAGATTAAGCTAAAATTTGGTATACATGTTCTTGTAGGTAGTATCTAGGTTGTGTTAAAATTTCTTGCTTTTTTTAGGTGATTTGGTTAGTGAACACATATACCCTAATTTCAAGTATTGTTATTGTGTGATTGGTGATTGTAGGTTCCGATCGGCTTGTGTATTTGAGGAGTTTGAGAATTGTGATTTGATATTGATTTGGGCTTTGTTTGAGATCTGATTAAGGTTTGTTTGAGGTTGTTTTATACTTTGATTATCTCAGCCTAGAGCTAATTGTGTGTTACTTGTTGTTGCTTCCCTTTCTACAAGGCTTGCCATCTTAATTCGGCATCGGTTTGATATCAAAATCGAGGTTTGCCTCTCATTGTGTATAAGCTGAATATAAAGATGCCGATAAGAAGAACAACCATTGAACGAATGACCATGCACAATATGCAAAGGGCAATCTAAGGATTACAACAAGCCAATGTCAAGTTTGGACGTAAGAATCAATAGTTTTGGTCTAACCTAAATTAGGATTAGGTAATTTCAACAACTTCGATTGTTGTGTGTTGGATCATTTATTGATTGTTTTGAGATTTAGTGTTGACGTGGTGATTATTTATCGTGATTTGTGTTGATTTTTTAAACACTAAATTTCGATTACATTGAGTTTAGAGGTGTTGAATTTCAATTGTTATGATTATTTAAATTGTTGGTCTCGACTAGTGTGGATATTTTGTGCTTATGTGTTTTGGATTGAATTTGTTTCCACATATCCAAGTGTCACCTTTTGCTAAAGTTAATTGTTTACTACTACTCATTTTCAACAATATAATGATTTTATATTCATATTTAAGGGGGGAAAAACTATTATTATATATAAAAATATGGAAACCTCAAAAAAAAAAAATTAATCATTATATTCTTTATATGATATTAATATTATAATATACTTTAGCATGAATATGTAAATCATATTAAATTAAAAGAAAACAAATCTTTTTTTTTATATAAAAAAATCTTAGCATTGCATAAAACAATTGTCTAGAACTTCAATGATAGCCCTTCTCTCTCTCTCTCCCTCTTTTATTATTATTTATACATACTACTGTTTTTTTAAAAATTTTATTTTTGTCTATAGATTTATATATATCGTCGTTTGTCAACTATTTGTTGTCATCATTTGATGCCGTTTTATTCCTTTTCATAAATGTCTATTGATTTTTTTTTTAACCGTGTACAAAAATCATTGATTTTTTTAAAAAAATTAATCATAATTTATCAAAATTAAAAATACTCATGTTGAATCGATTTAATTGAAAATACAAGAGCTTATTTAACGGATTATTGAAACACAAGGTGCGGTTAGTAGGTTTTGCCCATACTTACAATAAAAATCAAAATTTTAGAGAGGCATTTTCATATTTGTTATTCACTTTATAATCATTCTATCAAACTGGTTTTTTTTTTTTTTTCCCAACTTAAAAGTCTATTTGGCCCCTTGTTATTCTAGTTTTCACTTTTTTGTTTTAAAGCAAACCAACTAAAATATAAAGATATCTTCATTTGAAAACATATATGCATATATATAGGAGGATACCTACAAAAATTTACTATTTGACTATAAGATACCACAAATACAATTCATTGCATATCACACACACATATCAAATGCACAAATAATTATTATAAAATAAAAATTCTTTAAAAAAAAAAAAAAGACAAAAAACTTCATTTGAAGTGTGAATTGTTTGGTCATATTTTTCCCAAAAAAGGGGGAATAAGCATCATTTCAATTTCTAAGTAGACTAATGAATAAATTAGTGAAAATTTTTAAGTGATATATATTTTTCAAGAGTTCTATCCCAACTATTAACTATTAATTATTAAAAGATAATTCAGTTATACGCTTTAACAATCAAACAAACAAATTAAATTATAACCTATCAAACTTTATATAAAATTATTCAGAACTTAGAAATCAAAGTCTGGTAATATAATAAACTATCGAAACTTATTCATTTATAAGACATTAGAGAAATATACCATTCGTTGAATAATACATCAGCCCCAGATTCCATTGCTTGCCTAAAAGAAAGCAAGACTTGTGGCATTTACAAACGCACCAAACTCACCATATACTTGTCAAGTTCCTGTATTTTGCACCTATAGAGACAATATAGTCCTGCTCGCCTAATAAATTATGCTCGGATGTATTCGCCAAGTGAAGATGTAAGACACATCGATGTAAAGCAAAATGCGCTAACAATTTGACAGAAAAATTGACCAAATGGAGGAAGCGGAGTAACTAAGTTATATCATGTAGCAACAAGCCGGTATAACAAAGTTAACCATTCCTAATTTGTTAGCTAATCTTTATGAATCAAGAATCCGAAGAGAGCTTTTCAAGCTCTTTTATGCCATGACTAGAAGCTTTCTTCATTTCAAGGGCTCTTTTATAAGGGGGAGCAATTGGAGGTTGTACAGGATCCAAGCTCTGGTAAGTGCCATCGGCAACTTTTGGTAGTGGATATGATCGGTCAGAGTCATACCCACTGAGGTCCCCGCAAGCTAGAAATGGAATATACACCTTATTTGCCCCTTCCAACCATGCGCTACTGCAATCTGTCATCTCAAAAATACAAAATTAGAAGTGAAGAAATAACACTTCGACCACGTAAACAAATATGTAAGGAGGAAGTAAAAAGAACGAGAAATAGAGTCAAGTTCTTTTGCTTTTTTTTTTTTTAAAAAAAAAAGTGTTGAGGTGGGGGGGGGGGGGGTTCGGGGTTTGATGTGGGACAAAATTCAAAACTTTCTCCCTGAAAAAATCTTTTACTCCTCCCTCCCCAATGTTATCATTTAAGCTCCTAATGTTAACATCCTTGAAATTTTCCTGTTCCCCTAAACTTGCACCAAACACAAGTAAACCTTACCAAAAATAACCTTCAATAACAGAATGTAAGCACACACACAAGTATATCAGAAAAACAAAAATATTACAGTACCTAGGTCATCAGCACCAGAGGGGCTTCCCACCTTTTCCAAAAGGCGATACAAGTCTTTTGGATTAAATCCCTCAGGAGGGGAGTAATTCTCACAAACTGCAAATGCCTCTGCAAGGGAAACAATTCAATACTATCTTTAGGTATAGTTCATAAACTAATCATGGAGCCTTTGTAGATGGCATTTAAGACCATCCACTGGTTTTTATGCCCATTGTGGGTCTAATCTGAGGCAGGATTCACCTCCACCTAGATGAGGTTGATGTTCCAACTTAGTGGGGCTGATGTTCCACCTTGGTGGGGTTGCTATTCCAATACCCACTAAGGCATTTTCAGCACTTTTTTGTTTCCGCTCTCTCTCTTATTTTCTCCCAAAGGAAGATATGCACTCTCACAGTAGCAGGAACTCCTCAGTTATTAGTCTCTCACATTATGGATCAATGCCAGAAATGGAATTAAAGTACTGGTTGTGGTAAAATTGATATACTGACAAGATAAGCACTTGAACTATCTCTGCTAAGACCAGTTTAACTCATAAGTTACTCACAAAAAATACACTAATGGGGGAGACAGCAAATGTCCTTACCTATGCTGGAATTGCGGCTGCTTTTTGGTTTTGCAAAAGTCACCACAGGAAAAAATAATTTGAGCTGAAACGGGAGAAGCAAAAACAAACATTCCATTTAAGCAAACAATAAGAACATTCTATTCTATCACAGTCTTCTTAGACATTGACAAGGAACAAGCATATAAACCAAACAATTGAAATGAAAAATATTTAAATCTTTATACAAGTACAAGCACTTTATTTCATATTTGGGATATGTAACTCAAATCACAAAGAGCCTACTTGCATTTTATCTCAAATAAATCCAGAAGACTTGCTCCTAGGCCTGGGCTTGATGAGTCTATTATCATCATAGTTTTAAATAGCGGTCGCGGTTAAAAAAACGATAGCGATCACGATTGCATAACGAGACTTATCGCATTAATAAAATAACGGTCACAGCACTCGATGTCGTGAAAATATTAGCAACTATTAATAAATTTATTCTAATTCACATATTTTTAATAATTTTACTAATTAAACATACTAATAAGTAATAATATCTATAAAATTTTAATATCATATAACAATAGTTGAATATATTATAAAAAATAGTTAATAACACTTCTAATATATTAATGTCACAAAAAATAATAAGATACATTATAACTTCAATATAAACATTATAAAATATTCATCTCTAAAAAAATCGTTATAGATTATCATAATAATAATTATTATCTTACCGTTGATATTGTGGTCCTTGTCTATTAAAATTATAACCATAACTATATTGCCCTCCTAAATCTAATTGTCTAAATAATAAAGCAGCCATAAATGATTTAATTTCTTTAGGATGTTGTGAATTGTGAAATAGATTGTATGATGAGATACCAACCTCAATATACTATTTCCTCAATATACTATATGAATCCAATTGCCCTCTAAAATGACTAATTTTTCCTTATGTTGTCATGTCTAAATTTTTTAATTATTTCAAGACTACTGGAAAAAGGATTTTAGAAGTAGAGATAGAAATGCTGAAAAAAGCACAAAATCGCATGGAGTGTGGGACCTGGGGTTGCAATTCATATTTCATTACTGTCATTCCAAGAAAAGAGAAAGTCCCGTATTAATTCAAGACTCCCTCTCTTCTGTAACAATTTATTTTGCTTCCCTCTCATCCAAGAACTCAAACACTTTATGCCTACAGTCTACAAACACAAATTCTTTTTCTTCTAAAAGCCATATCCATAAAACATAAGCAGCATCCACACACAACTTACACCAAACATTAGGTGTGCACACAAAAAAAAAATTATAGCAAAAGGAGGCCACAAGCCTGCGAAGGAAGTAATTTTTTTTTAATGTAATGCGTTATATAACAGCAAATAACAGCATTACATAACAGTAATGCTGTTATATGTGTTAAACAGCGTCGGGGCACCCATAATGCTGAATAACAATAACAGGGTGCCTGATACCGTTATATAACGACTGTTATCTTATGTTCAGGGTTTTCCATATCAGGCCCACATTATGCTATCTTATTGGTAAACTCATCTTGTCAACTGAAACATTATTCTCACTGAATGAGAACTTTAGTATAGTATGAGGAATATAAATTTACTAGTAGAAACAAACCCTGTACTTAAATGTTCAGGGTTTATTTAAAGGAACAAGCTTAACAAATCTCGTGAGCTTATTCTTAGAAAAATTGATAAATTTAGAACAGCATTTTATTCACCTGGCAATACAGAAGACTTGTATCTTTCCCACGAAATATCTTTGCGATGAATTTTCCACCTTCCCTGAGCACATGTGTGACAATTGTTAAACCCTGCAAAAAAGGTAACCAGCCACAATCAGTCTAATACAAACTTCAGCAAGATTCATAAACAACTGCAGATGCGAAAGCCAAGCAAGCAAGCATGTAAAGGACATGGTTTCATATGCAGGAATAGTGACGGTCCCAATGAAACGAACCCGAGCAAAAGAATGAAACGACAAGGAAGATGATGATGCTAGTGGCAGTTTGCATAACTGTTGTTAAGAGCTTCTGAAAAGCTTGAATGAACTTTATTGTCCTACAATTGTAAGCACATGCCAAGTCAAGACAGATGTAGTTCTCCATTACTTTCTCCACACACTTTTAGCTAAAGAAAGCAAAGCAGAATTTAATTGCAGAATGCAACTTGGTTGGGGTTTGGCTGGTTCTAAGAGAATTCAGAACTCCATTGGGTCATTAGTTGCAACGATCAAGAAAAACCAAATCAAACAAAACATAATCCTCCAGTTCTGTTCAGACTGGTTACAGTTCAAATAACAAATAGGGTTTGGATGTGCAGCAGAGAGGAAAAAAGGGTTCAGGATACTAGCGAACTTCAAACTTACAAAGCCAGATAACATTTCTTAAACCAAAGCTGACTGGCCTGACAATAGGCCAATGCTTTTGAATGTGGAATCATAATAAATCACATTCTCTAAAGGTACATTATTTAAAAGACACCATGCTAGCCACATTATGCTTTATAAACACTATCATCATGATTAAAGCTTTCTCATGTTTTTGCTGAATTGCATGCCAAATGCTCCATAATTTCCAACTTTTTTGTCAACAAATTTCTCATTGACTTTCAAGAATTGAGTGAAATCACCTCTTGAATGACATAGGTTAAATTCAGTTCACTAGTATTTTCAGATTCCAAAAACCAATGGCCATTGTATATAAGTTAGTTTGTGAAAAAGATTTGGTACTTGACACTAAAATCAGATTATAAAGTCAAAGATCTGAAATTTCCCAAAATGATCGGGCTTTGTGTGGTTCTTAAACATCAAGTTGTCTTCGTATGGTTCTTAACATCCTTCATAACTCAGAAGTGAGTATAACAAGGACAACTCTTACTGCTAGTATGAGTTGAGACTGAACAAATTCGTCCATGTCATGGAGTCCGGTAACTGCAAATCACATGAAATTAAACTAACTTCAGAAACTATAAGAAGTGAGTTTAATGGAAAAAAATTTAGCAACTAAGAGGATCGATAATATGATGAATTTTTCATCCAAAAAAAAAAAACCAGTAATATGAATTTAGCATTGGACCAAGAAGTTTATTTTACCATCAGGGGCACCATCACAAACAACCAAGTCAGCCTTGCAGCCATCAAAATGTCTAATGACCTGTAGAAGATTATTTGAACAATCAGCTATCTAGTATGCAAAAAAAAAAAAAAACACTATGATGTACTTAGCAAGTGAGACAAGTACATGATTATATGCGTGCACACACATATTTACATGTGTTTGCACCTCTGCACCCACCCGCAAGGGTCCAAAACAATAGACAAAGGAGGAAAAGAAATGAATGAATCCATCCATATGAAAAACATAGCCATTCTACTCCATTTATAGTGGAAATTCCCAATTTCTTTTGGCATTTACAATGTCCTTTTAAGCATTCATTCAGCACATACTCTTCACCTAAGGAATGCTGTTGTAGCTCTACATGCTGATTACAAGATTGGTACATGGAACTTGCCTACCAACTTTTCTAATAACGAGAAATACAAATCTTGCAATTTGACCTAATGCTCAATTTGACAAAACATCTGGATGTGCTTTTTTCTATGATGAGAATAAACATTAATGCTGAGAAGCAATGAACCTCACTCTTCCACATAAGACAAGTTGGAATATGTGAAACAGAGAATTTGAGGTAATAAACCATCCTTACCACTTCAGCAGTTCGAGCATTGGTAATATCACCCTGCACTTGGATAACACCTTCAATTGGAGCCATGGGTTGCAAATCAATGGCCACAATAAGAGGAAGATCATTATCACTGCAAATCACGATGCAGAAAGGTAATGTCTCATTAGGAATGAAGAGTGCACAAAGAATAAATTTCATGTTTGATTTCGGTTTCTTTATTTCATTCTTTAAACAAGAATTTTTTTTTTTTTCAATATTTCTTATGTACAATGAGATTGAGCACACAAGAGATGCTAATAACATAAAAAGGTAGCTTAGAATGAATAATAAAGCATATGTACCATAAGGAAGCAGCAAATCAATTTTATGTTTCTAACAAGGTTTCTCCACTGGCAAGTGTCTATTGAGCATAATCCATTATGAGAATTCTCAAATAGGAAAAAGATGGAATTCGAAAGTTGGTATATAACTTAAAGAACCATGCCCATTTTATCACAACTATACATATGGTAATAAAACATACAGTTATTTCTAACACATTTGATTGGAATTGGGTTTTACACGCCGTACTGAATCAAAATAGATTAGAGAAACACATATTGAACTTCTAGCCCCAATAGAATCATTACTGAAATCCACATATAATAATCACTTAATAGAACCATAGTACACAAGGCCGTTGTGAAGTTAAAGCATGGCTGACAAAATGGAAGTGCTTGTAAACAAGGACAACTTACTGCTTTAATTTTAATATCATTTTTTTTTTTTTTTAACAAAATGATTAAATTCTAAACAATGTAAGAAAATGCAAATTCTGAAAAAATTTTGATAAGTATGGTTGTGAATACGACACTCAATATCAATTAAAGCCTTCAATTTAAGCATGGAATATGGTGCCCATGGACCTCTGTTAAACAACAAACACGTTAAAAGCTTACCTAGAATCAGGTGAAAGTTTTGCTGGCAAATATAGTTTACGGCTCAAAACCTGCAGATCAGGAGCATGCATCACGAACGAGCCAGGAAATTCAAAGAAGAACAAATGCTAAACAGTACATTATAAGGTAAATGTCAGGTCTGCCATGATGGCATATCAAGAATTAACTGCCCTGACATGCTAATGTGCAGGGAGCCAGTTCGGAATAATCACAAAGGACAAAGAATTTTTTTTTTTTTTAACACCTAAAATTAATATAAAGACACTTGGAATTTGGCTAAAGCACTAATAAATAGATTGTAGCGCACAGCCAGAGGTGGAGAAGGTAAGGCCAATTATTGAAGATTTTGTATGAGCGTTTGAAGTTGACCTAGCTTCAACATTTGGCAGAGAGCTTAAAAAGGAAAACCTAGAGGTCTTAGGTTCAAATTTTGGAAGAGCATATGACTGACAATTTGGGTACCAAAATCCCTCTATCGCGTAGCTGGTATGGAATCACAGGAAGGTGGAAATCAATCTATCTATATCTACATGCATGCTTTTTCAAAAAAAAAAAAAGCATAATAAAGAACTTTTCGAAATCAGAAGAATGATATTATTATTATTATTATTATTATTATTATTATTATTATTATTCAGATGAAATATACCTGACTCCAGCTGCCAGGTGCAGCACATAAATCCACCACACGCTTAACTCCTAGAATCAAACAGCCAAAAAAACTAAAATTTCATAAAACTGTTTCCCATAAACAAGTATTGAAAAAACAATAAACAGACCTTCAAAAATATTGAATTCTTCATCCATTTGAAGGAGTTTAAAGGCACTTCGAGCACGCCAACCCTCTTCTTTTGCTTTTCTATAGTATATATCCTACAAATACAAATCAACTCTTTGTTTGCTTTCTCGTGTAGTACTATTTAAACAGCAAAATATAGCAAACCAAGAACAGAAAGCAACTTGTAACTCAAGTGTAGCTTACCCTCTTATCCCTTGAAGCTTTCCCCATTATTTGAAAAACCGGTCCTCCGTAGACCTCTCAAAAATGGACAACAGGGGGGAGCAGTAGCGATGGTTTTTGGGCGGCGGAGCCTTCACTTCTGCATAGGCTGAATCGGGTCTGGCAGGGCCCTATTTATCAATCATCAACATCTTATAATAATTACCAAAGTAATTCCTTCTCGTTTGCAATTTCTGATAGACAAAAAGGTCCCTAGTTATTTATGTTAATTACAAACACACCCATGTATTTATGGATATACCAAATGTTTCTTCTCTAACGTTGAGATTTGCACTGTTAATTTGGTCAATTATATCATTGAACTATTATTGAAAAAAAAAAAAGGCCTGAAAATAGCTTAATGATAGGGAATAAGGAAGAAGAAAAGGGTAATAGCAAAATCCCACTGAATGGAAAAAATTGCAATTAATAAGTCAAAACAAGATGCATAAACAACCCAGGTAAAAAAGAAGCGGAGAAGTACTAGCAAATGCAAAGAACAATGTTTTCAACAGTCATGGTGACTCTGACCTTGCTACGTATGGCATCACTGCATTTGACAGGTTCTTGTGATGGTTTCTTGAAACTACAGAAATCTTTCGCATTCTCTTGCAGTGTAATACGCTTGGTAGAAGGTAACTCGTGTTAACCCTCACACTTATTTATTCTATACCAGAAGTGGTATTAATTAATTTTTTTACTCCTTTTTAAGACTCTTGGATGTACACTACTGAAGGCTTTCTGCTCCAGTAACTGTCATGGATTTGGGGATTTTTCTGCTTTACAGATCATTGAACTACAAAGGAAAAGCCTAAAGTAGCGACTGTATTCTTAGTCTTATGGTTTCTAGCTGTCATGAATGCAATGTTTCGCTGACACTTGTCTCTAGGAGAAGAACATTGCCAGAAGTAGGGTAGGGAAATAGAATAGCTTAGTTTAGATATTGTTTTTGTTTCACAGGTTTGGTGGGTTTGGTTAAGAGGCCAAAAGTATTAACTTGGTTAAATGTGCAACATTTAAAAGAAACTCTTAGATTTCTCTTTTATAGGTGATATTCAGGGGCTCATTAAGCGACAAACAGAGTTTAGTCACTTGCAAGGAATAAGGAAACGATGAATAAAAAGTGAAATTGGACAGTCCTGTTCTTTTTGATTTATCCCTTTTGTTCATTCTGATTTATCCAGGTGGTCATTGTGCACTCTTTTAACTCTTAACACACACGCACATATATAAGAAAGAACTGTAAATTGAGAAACAGGTGAAAAAACGAATTGAAGAAGAGGTAAAACAGAGAACCTGATTTCTGGGATTTTGAGTTTCTTGAAAACGAAGAAGGAAAAAGTCTGGCTTGAGAGCTGGGAGATTGAATTCGCCAGTTCGGTGGTTCTCCGGTAACACAAGAGTAGAGGAGACGAGAAGGTTAAAACCCTTGTCAACGGCGACCGCGGTTTTAGGCCTTTTATAGGTCTATTGGGCCAAAAAGCCAAGCCCACCCTCGTTTTTTATCCCTCCAATTTTTTTCTTAGGACTTGAGAAAAAGCCCCACATATTTTTTCCCCTAAGAATTACAGGAACCAAGAAAGAGATAGGGAAAGAACAAAAAAAAAAAAAAGCTCCGCCAAGATTTTAGGCCTTTGGGGTGGGTTTAGCATGGATTTTGGTGTTCTAACTTCTACAGATCATTGAACAACAAAGAGATAAAAAAGGACTAAGTGGCTGCATCACTAGTCTTGAGGCTCTGTTGGGATCACGTAATTGGTAGATTTCTAATTAATGAGTTTGATTGTGCTATTTGCTATTGTTTGATCCTGAAACGTTCAAAATATCTGTTTGAAATATCTGACTTTGCCATTGTCACAAATGATGTCAAAGATGAAGCCTATAATTTCTTTGATCCAATAAGTTTGCCACTAGCCAATGTGCATTACCTGATGTTTGCTTCACATTCCAATATTTAATCTTATGAATCTGATTCTCTCAATATTCTATCCTGAATCCATCTCCTTGTTATTTCATCTAGGGTGTATAGTAAATCCTAAGATGCATAGCACATTCAACAATGGCTGCACACAATCTGGAAAAAGTATAGCTAAGAAGAAACTAGTGACAGTGAATCTGAAAACAATGTGCTACGAAGAAACTGCTGACAAATAGGGTGGAGACTGAAAATATTTGATCCAGGTTATTTCAACCCCATAGTCAGCAAGGAAACAAAGATAAACCAATCTAGCTAGCTATAAAACTTGGAAAATATAACAAAACAAATGCATTTCTCAATACAAAGCTAGACAAAGAAAAGTTACGCTTAATCGATTTGAGAAACACATGAAACAATAAAAAAATCTTATATTGAATTGTGAATTGAATTAATGTACAGTGGCATTATTAGTTGTTAAAATAATTGTATCGTGCATACATGTTGACTACAAGCTATAAAGGCCTCAATATTTCGTAAGATCAATTGATTTGTACTCTTGCTCTGTATTCTTCTTCACCTTACGTAAAAATTTCATCTTGATTTTCTCATTCTCGAATTGCCTTTGATTGCTTGCCATGTCTTCTATTGTCATAGTAACAAGTTTATCTGGTTTAATTTGTCCAAGAATAACTTCCCTTCTCAAGTCTGCATTCCTAAGATCCTTCATGTTGAACCGTATAGACCCGTACTTCATTGTCTTGTCGCCATTGAATTGCCCCATCTTCTCAGCATTACTGATTCACCCTCTGCAGCAACAAAAATTGGATCACGTGAGCTTATTGCTTTCCACAAGCCCGGTCCAGCCTCCTTGACAAATCTGCTCAGTGATTCCACAAGAATGGATCGGACCTTGGCACGCAAGGCAACATCAAACTTGATAGGTTCTTCTGATGGTTTCTTGGAACTAGTGGAACCTGTGACTTTCTCTTGTACTGTGACGCAAGTGGCAGATGATTATGATGGTTTCCTCAAACCGCTCATGATGCCTTTTACTTGTCATGTTAGCTTTCTGATCTACTTGGAAGGTGCTAGTGGTGATTTTCTGAAACAGCTCCTGTTACTTTTTACTTTCTCTTCTGGGTTTATGATTTGGTTGGCATGTGCTAGTGGTGGCTTCCTTAAAACTGCGAAAACCCTCTTTTGTCTCTTGTCTTATCTTCTTCTCTTCAATCTTTACAGTCTGTGTTGGAATATTTTTTAATAAAATATTAAAAACTATATTTATTATATTATTTATTTAAGAAGAATAACTGAAAAAATAATGATTGTTTTGAAACAGTCATTTGTCCCATTTACTTTCAAAGAAAAACGGTTCCATGACCATTTGTGTGCATTTATATTAAAATTTATTTCAACATTTATTCTCTTAGAACTGTATCTTATGGTAGCTTATAAATATGATATTTTTTTTGTCATTTTAGATACAACAACAATACTTCTTACATGATGTGGAGTAAAACAATAACTGTATTTTTTGTTGCTTTAAAGAGATAGATATATAGCAATCTTATATATTGTTTAGATAAAAATAATTATTTTATTTTGTAATTTTTATTCTTATGCCAAAAGCCATATTGTTTTATTTTATTTGAATAAAAGTGATATTATTATTTTTAGAGTTTCAAGTATTACAAATAGTGTAAATTTGTTAAAACACGACAAAGTGGCTGAGTTTGTTGTATTCCCGAGATGACGTATAATATATTCTTGATCCGTTGCATCAAATACATTCTACGGATGACATGTATCATTTTAAAAAATAACTTGGTTGTGCCTCAAGTCGGTCACTTAAAAATTATAGTAAAACTATTTTGATGATTCGGTCATTTTTATACCACAAAATATGGTAATATGATTTTAATCATTAATTTTTTTAATGATCAAAGTAAAAAATTCTAATTCTTTATTTATTTTAATTTACAATAAATTTATTTATTTATTGTGTTAATTTTTATTATTTAATTATATTGCTTTTGTGTGCTAGGAACAACAATTTGAGACAATATCATGTCAAGATTTAATTATTAAAATTGAAAATAAATTTGGGCATGAAATTTTAATATTATGTTTTTTAAAAGTCAATGTCATAGCTTTTCTATCGTGGTTTTTTATTGGTGGTTGATGATTCAAGCTACTTAATTGAGAATAAAGCAAGTATTGAAAAAAATATATATTATTTTATGGACATCTTTGTTGGTTGTATACATCTAGCAAATTTTATTAATTGAAAATAAATTTATAAATGTTAATTAGCCAAGTGAAAAAAAAAAATCATTTCATTTCTTATCTTATTTTACTCTTATCTTCATACCATATATTGTTATCGCTGAATTGATGATTCTCTATATGTCATAATATGCATATATTGTTAATTATTTATTTTATTGAGCTCTAAAAAGGATAAACTTACTTCTATGTCAATCCCATGTTTGTGTGATTGCGCTGTTATTGAAAAAAAATAATAATAATAAAACTATCACTACCATATGGCTAATGAGATATCAAGATCATGTTTAATATATATATATATATATATATATATATATATATATATATATATATATATATATATATATATTTTTTTTTTTTTTTTTTTTTTTTTTTTGAATCCATAATGTTAATTTTTTGTACCTTACGTTTACGTACCTATCAAATATTATTATTCAAGATCAATAATATTGATTGTGTTGAAAATTAATATTTATGATATTAACCATGATGTTAATTTATTTGTATGAATTTTATTACTAGTACAAATTTAAATAATTTGAAGAATGATTTATAAATTGATTTATATTGTTCAATATTTTTATATTGTACAAATTTCAATGATAATTGACAATAAAAGCACTTGTTTTGTTGTAATGTCATGTGACTGAGATAAATAAGAAGTAAACGAAAAAAAAATCCAATATTTTTATACTTATATATTGATCATCTTGAATGCAAAGTCAAGAAAATCAAATTTATGTGGCATTAAAGGCAATGGGAGATTGGTCAATAAAAAGTATTTCAAGTCTCTAATAGTATTTACTATGCAATAAGTATAAAAAGTCAAGTAAATATTTTAACTGTCAAATTATTAAAGCTCTTTGATTTTTACTTTATTTGAAATTTACTTTTGATGATGAAAGTATGTGATACTTGTATTTACAAGTAATTTTATATTATTGTATGGATATTTATTGGCCCATACTTGAGTTTTTTTTATCTATAAATTGTGATTCAAAAAAAAAATGGAGGGGGAAATGTGAATGTCATATAAATTCTTGTTATTGAATGTTTGTAAACTAATATTAGTTCACATAATTGTTTTATTAAAACTTAAAAAGTTCACATATTAATTTAATTAAGATCAATTGTAATTTGAATGTCAATTATTTTGATGTGACTCATGTTGAAATTGTTTGACACCCTTATCTAATTGTGGCATTATGAACAACTTTGAGAATAATAATCTTGTTAGCAGATTATTAGTAAGATAAAGATTCATGATTTAATAAAGGATTTTTCATATATTATTTTTTATGTGAAAACAAAAATTTGATATATTACCTTATTTTTAAAAAAATATATCTTGTTGATTTTTAGCCATAAGAAATAAATTATAAATGTTGATGATGAAATAATATAATAATTTATGCCATCACTTTATCTACAAGTGGTAGCAAGAAAATCATTTATTATGTGAATAGTAAGGGGCATAAAAAGTATTATAGTATTAAAATTTTATTTGAGAAAATCATTATGTAACTTAAGATAAATTATCATATTTCTCTCGTGATGATAAATTATCATAATATTTCTTATGATACTTGTGTAACATCCCTCGCCTAGAACCTAATGGGTCGAGAATATTATCGTCATTAACTACATTCAAAGTGCAATGAATATAGGTTAATAAGGCACTATAATCTTATTGTAACTTATTTAAAGATGTTTACGTAGTGAGCGTCTAGTAATAACGCTTAGGTCCTATTTCTTTATTAAAAAGTCACTATAAATTTTTCGAGTTTCCTTAAATTGCTTACCTTTATTCATTCACCTTGTTATGTAGTCATTAATGTAATTTACTTACTAAATTATTCGTTACTATTTATTTATAATAATTACACAACTATTACTACCGCATCATTTTGTTATTAATGGTTCGATTACACACCTTAGTTATTTACATATAAGACAAATTTTATGCCAATTACTACAAAATTGGTTTATTTGCTTTCAAACCATTATCATGTCATATGGCTTACTTGTTTCATAGCCTTTACTATTGCATAGGGTAGGCCAGTTACATCAAGTACATATAGAACTATAACTCGTAATATAATTAAAAAGAGCATGCAATGGGTCTACCCAAAAATCGAACCACCATCCAAGATACACACGTCGAGTGCCTCATTCGATGATCAACTCCGTAGAGAAGTAGGCCATAGTGGTTTACTTATCTATACCACAAGAAACTAGATGAGCAATAACTCAATAAGTTAATGGATGCATGTAATACATGTTCATGTACATACGAGTATCTAACACCGCTTTATGCAAAGTAAGTTTCATTTTTCCTCATGTCATAAAACATAAAAAAATCTAAAAATCCTTTTTCGTCTATGGAAATGTCTCATTTACGTGCTTCGTGGCTTTCATAATATATGTCGGACGAACCAAACCCGTCTACGTATGCATTCTACCAAGCCTTTAAAAGTATACGTCCGCACTTGCTTGGCCCGAACCATTACCATTACCGTATGAAAAACCCATGAAGTCCTTTTTTCAAAACCTCAAAGTCATTGAAATCTTTTCCTTTAAAATCATTCGATTGCTATCGGATAACCATGACATAAAATATTTTTTCATGACTTAAAACATTATTCATGAGCTAAGCATGTATATAAAATTGCAATGAACCAGTATGATATATGAATTCATGAATGTTTACTTTGAATGGTTATGTAACCAAGTCATAAGAATCAATATAAAATTAGACAACATAACAACATAGATAACATCAATCCAATATAAACCAACACCGTCATCATTGGCACATCAATCATCATAACCCAATTCTTATCATCAATCACATTCAAGCATAACCATTATTCATAATCTAATGCATTCATATAGCATTTGAAAGAACAAAACCATAACATAAAGGAAGATGAACATTTTTGTTCCATTTCTTTGTTCATTGAACTTACCTTTCACTTTACTTTCCTAAATTATTTTCCTTTGGTTCTTAATTATCTTTCCATATTTGGTCTTTATAAAATTAAGTATCATTTCATATTCCAACCTAACTAGGTATTATTTCATTTATTTAAGAGCTTTAATTTCATTTTGGGCCTTAATAGGCCTAAGGCCTAATTTGTCCTAACCTAATTTTTCTTTAAATTTTTATGAGCCCTTTTCATTATAAACCATCATTTTACTGTGTTTTTATTCTGAATCATCAAATTTAATGTTTAAAACTTGGTTTAAACCTAATTCCGCAAAATTCTCATTTAGACCTAAACATGACCTCTTTAGAATCCTAACATTTTCTCCTCATTTTGTCCCACCATTTTAACACTAAGTATCCTAGATATGTAAAAACTATAGGAATTAATTTAATTGAAATTTAGGACTCAAAATCTTGTCCCAACCTATATTGGGCCTTAATGAGCCTAAATTGGGCCTAAGCCCATAAAACCTATTTTCTTCAACTTTTGACGAATTTTTCAC